TTATTTACCAATGTAAAATTGTTGAACTTAGTTTTAGAGGGTGTGGATCTAAATTTTTATATTTTACTATTGATTAATACTCTTTTATTAATATAATTATTTAATTAAGATGATATAAATTAATAGTAAAAGGTAAAAATTCAGATTCATAACTTTAAGGGGTTTTTATCTCATTTCTCTCTTAATTTATATTAAAATCTCTTGATTGGGTGCGCAAATATGTACATATGTATACCAAGATTTGAATTTTGATTGTTTCATTTGTTTTATTAGTAAAATAAGAGTCATAAATCTCACGCCGTATAAACAAAATTAGAGATCTTTTCTATATAATAAACAACTTATTAAATTACCTAAACAATTAAACCATTGGCTGCATTGTTTATAATTGTGAAAGGGAGAAAATCAAGCGGACACAACATATAAATTTTCCTCTTTCAAAATGTATTTCTCCTCTACTGTAAATTCTTCTGATTAATAGAATACTGAGATTATCGATATCGATCTTCACTCGTTTAAAAGCTAGCCTATGGATATGACAAGAAACCAAATAAAAAAATATTAAAAAACGACAAATCTAAATAGTAAATTGCAACAAGATAGAGATTTGTGCGGACCATCAAATCCATCACTCCTATAGATTACCATCTAAGTTGACATACACACGGACAAACACAAATTGGTTCATGGGGCAAGTTTTTAGAAAATTTATGCCGTGTTTGGAATTAATCATATTTTTATTTTTTATGTTTTTTGAGAAAAAAATAAAAACGTTTTTAAAACGGTATTTGACGCAATAAAAATAAAAAATAGAAATGAAAATAATTTTTTAGTTTAGTGTAAAATGAGAAAGAAATGAAAAACAATTTTAGTCGTTTTTCATTTTTTGTTTTTGTTTTCTCCTCTCTCGAGCAGAGAAAGAGAGACATTAATGGTTTTTTTACATTGAAAATAATCTCTTGATAAAACTACTAAACACATTTTTAAAAATAATTTTTGTCTGAGATTGAAAACGTTTTTATTTTTATTTTCATATAAAAAATAAAATTATTTTGAGATGAGTTCCAAATGCGCCCTTAAACTTTGACCTACGTTGTTATACAACTTTACAATTTTACTCTTAGTATATCCCCACTGATCTATTTTTTTTTTTTTTTCAAAATTTAAACATGGACTCTGAAATCTTAAAGATTTGTATATAATGCACTCTTGCCTACTTAAATTTTAGGATAAATTACAAAAAGAGTAATTTGCTCTCGTGGTCCCTCAATTATTTAATAGGTGACACTTTAATTCCTATTCTTTTAATTTTGGTAAAATAACCCCTCAACTCTTAAAACATGGGTAAAGCGAGAGTTTTCTAAAGAGTTTAAATGAAATAAATTCAAAATTTAAGAAACAAAGCGAGAATTTTTAAAATTTAAGAGATAAAGTGAGAATGATCTTAAAATTCATGAGATATCACTGAAATTAATCCTTTCAGAGCATATTAAGTAGCCATACCAAAACACAACTAAAGGATAAAAATGATATCCAATAAATTAGATATATATTTTTTTTTAGTACGAACTTTCACGTTTGACCATTTTTTTAAACAAGAGTTTGACATGAAGATAAGAAGAGATGATCAGATGAAGGGAAAAAAGAGAGAGAGAGAGAGAGAGTTTGGGAAAGCATGCTATATTCATTACTTGCACAAAAAGTACAATACAGTAATCAACATATTAACTATTGCACTAATTCTTTATAGTTTATACCATTTACCAAAAAAAAAAAGAAAACAATTTACATGATATTTAAGTTGTTGACTTTTTATCTATCGGTATTTAGCAATACAACTTCACTTACCATATCAATATAAAATGGGATAAATGATGTCCTTATTTCGTCAGACAAATCACATCCTTATTAGTAAGTAATTAATTGAGTATATAACATTGGCATAAGAATGTAAGAGTGTCTTGGGGAAAAAAGTATAAATAATTGTGTTTTTTTTTTTTTTTTTTTTGAGAAAAACGTTAAAAAAAGATAACTGTTGTTATATCAAATAGCATTGTTTGCTGTTTCAGAATTTTTTTTTATTTTAAAAAAAGTATCGTTTGTTTATAATGTCGTGTTCAAATTGTATCTCTTTGCGCATGTTTTAAATCAACAAGGCATGTGTTAAATCAATTTAACTTAGGATACGTTTGGTTCATGGATTAGAATTATGTGATTAGAATTATTTTTGATTTACGTGTATTTTTTGTGAGATAAAATACTGTAGCGAACCATGAACCATGATTCGAATAAGGGAACGAATTCCCCAACTAAACAACCTCTTATTGTCCACATTGAGGAAAATGCCAATTTTGGTAACTCTCAGAAAATCTCATTTTCATAAACTTTTATTTTGGGTATTACTTGCATAGAAAAGTGCAATACCATAAAAGTTAATTTATTTTTGTATTTATTTTTTTGTTTAGTTCCCCTTATGCATGCGATCGATTGATTACATTTCTGCCTGCTACATTTTCCAAAGTTTTGTTCTAAGTATCATAATCATATATACCATTTTCTAAAGATTTTATTATGAGACTCATAAAGTGCATGCCAACTCATGATGGCCAATTGCAATAGGTTACTTAACCATTTTCCTTTTGAGTAAATTGCACGAATGATCTCCAAATTTTTTAAAACGTGACAGTTTGGTCATTAAACTTTTTTTTTTGACGAAACGAATCTCAAACTATTTAAAAGGGTGCAATGTAGTTCTTTCTGTCAAATTCTGTTACATTTTTAACAGAATTAATCATATGCAAGGCATGTGATCTTGTTAAAGAGGACATTGTAGTAAAATACCAAGCCTAGCTCTCTTTCTCTCACACAAACTCTAACCTCGCAACAGCTTCAGACCATGCTTCTTATCCAGGGATGACATTATTCCTTTCAATCTTTTTATTGCGATTTTGGATTGTCTAGGTTTGTGACAATATGCAGGTTATCTTCAGATCTCTCCGACAATCATTGTTGTTGTGAACCAGTTCACCGAGGTGAACCAAATCTTGGGCTCGCGATCTGCTTGTTGGTGACGGTGTCCTGCATGATCTGCTTGAGTTTTCTCATTGAATGTCTTCTTGGTGAACGTCACTGGAGGGCTGCAATCAACGCTAGAGATTTTCGGCTTTTACTTTGGCAATGAAGTCGCCGCCGCCGATCGTCTGCACTCTCTCCCGTGGGACCTCGAACCAGGTCCAGCATAGGAGATTGCCATGATCTCTGGGAACGTTGCCGATGATTGCAAAGTCGAGCGCTCGTCTTCTTCGACGCTGTTAAGAGCGACTGTCCTCAGCCGATCTGCTTTCTCTCTCTCCGTCCTAGGTCTCTCTTTTTCTCTGTCTCTGTCTCTCGCTCTCTCTCTTTTAGAACACTTTCTTGCTGTTGATTTCTGCAAAATCGCCTCCAACTCCGACCGAGGTCTGATGACAATGGAGGAAATTTGTGCATATGTGGTTTTGCCACAGGAGGTTGAAGGACAGGAAGGCGATGCCGACGCTGGCAAAGCGGCCATAGAAGGACTCGTTGGCGAAGCGGCCAGGTTTGCTGGTGGAAGCAATGGCGGTCGCCGTCCGAGGAAGCTGCGTGATAACAGTAATTAAGGACATTTTCGTCTTTCCAGTCAAAATATGTTCCACGTGATATCTCACGTGCACTGTGCCGTTATTTTTTGGACAAAAAGGATTACATTACACCTTTTTAAATAGTTTAGGGTTCGTTTCGTAAAAAAAAGTTTGAGGATCAAAATGTCACTTTTTAAAGAGTTTGAGGACTATTCATGTAATTTACCCTTTCTTTTTCTACGTAAATACATATGTGATCTAGCATTACATAAGAGAAATATCTTTCTGATATTTTTTGTCATTTTCTGTATTTATTGTTTGACACGTGAATTTTATAATTTTTTTTTCTATTTAAATAATAATACATTATGTTAGTGAAGTTTACGTGTCAAATAATGAATGTAAAAAGTGACTGGTAAAAAAAAATATGACGCTAACATTTTGTTGTATGAATATATATGGCAACAAAATTCCAATCCATATCTTCAAGAATAGACATATATACCCTGGTAATCGTTTCTATCTCTTGTAATTAACTTGCCTAAGAAAGATGAATAATAGATAAGCTCTATCTAGAAGGAAAGGAAAAAAAAAAAAAAAACCGAAAGGAAGTAAATGTGGGTCTTTTTTATTTTCATTTTTTATATGGAAAATAAATGCTGGTCTTCTTTATTTTTTTATATTTGGATGGAAATAAATGTAGGTCTTGAGCAAATATATCGAGGGATGGAGATTCTGAACGTTTTGCTGTTTGTTTCTTACCATACAAGGATAAAATTATGAGGGAGTGAATGGGGGTTTTCTTGCCATATGAGGACTAAATAAAGGCCAAAACATTAAAAATAAAAAATAAAAAAAATAAAAAAAAGAAAAGGTTTTCTATATGCATACAATACAAGGCAGTGTTTTTGCTGATGCATACGTTTAGACCTTTTCCCTTTAGGAGAGAATAGAGACATTATAAAACGACAAGAAAATCAAATTACATTATAAATAGGCCGGCTCATCTATCCATCACCCCATCATCATTTTTCACCCTCCAAACCAATCCCATTAAAGTACCACAAAATCTTCTCTCTTTTTTTTTTCTTTTCTTTTTTTTTTCTTCTCTCTCTGTTACAATTTGAAAAAAAAAAAATCATACCCCCTTCTTCTCTTCCTCCTCTCAGTACACAACAATCTTCTTAGTCCTTCATTTTCACTCCACTTGGAATAATCTGCTTCGCGCCCTCCTTGTCCATGTCCTTTTGAGCATGCAAAAGCTATAGAGGTAGGGACATATATTTATCTATATATATATATATATATATATATAGGAGTGTTTTGTTTGTTGGCAGTGATCAGTTATCACAATCAGTCACAATCAATCAATCAAAGAGGTTTAGAGATTTGATGAGTTTAATGGAGTTGGAGTTTGGTTCAGTGGTCCTGGCCTTGTTGAGCAGTTTGGGTTGCTTTGTGGTCCTGAAATGGCTTCTGAGGAATGTGAATTGGTGGCTTTATGAAACCAAGTTGGGTGAGAAGAAATATTCTCTCCCACCAGGTGATTTGGGCTGGCCTTTCATTGGGAACATGTGGTCCTTCCTTAAAGCTTTCAAGTCCTCTAATCCTGACTCTTTCATCTCTTCCTTTGTTTCCAGGTAACAATAACCCCAACCCCCCCTTCTCTCTCTCTCTCTCTCTCTCTCTCTCTCTCTCTCTCTCTCCTCCCTTTTTCTCTCTCTAGAAAAGTTATATATATATATACACATGTATATATAAAATGAGCCTCTTGTGTTTTTGCCACTGGTTATGTTTGTGCTTGTGTCTGTGTCTTCCATGTACCTTAGTGGGTACGGAATCAAGCTGGGCTTTTTTTTTGTCATTTTAACTGTCACATAATCCAAGTTTATATTCTCCATTTATCTATATCTTGCCACTCTCTCTCACACACAAAAACATTCATATATCATATATTAGTGTTACAATATACGTGCTGGATTAAGGTTTTTTGTTTTCATTACCAAAAACAAAATGTTTTTGAATTGTTTTATTAATGGCTATAATACAAGCTATATATTGTGCACACAGAAAATGACATTCAGTAATCAGTGAACCGAATACTTCGCCTTTTTAACCCTTGTTATGATAAGGTATATTATATGTTGAAAAATACAAAAACAAAATTCATATTAGCGGACAAAGTTTGTTTGTTTTGGCCGTTCAGTCCAAACTCTTTTGATTCTACTATTCTGGATGTCTCGTCAGCGTTTAGGATCCACCTAATAGTGGGGTCCCACGTGGTTTGGAAGGCCTCATTCTAATGGTACAGTTTTGGTGGACCATATGCATATAAGTATATATATACATGTTCTGCACATAGATTTTAGATGTGTAATATATAGAAAACAATTTGTAGTGGATCAAAACTTTAGGGGATTCTTATATTCGTCTCTGATTTTGAATCATAATTCATGATTCTTTATAATATTTTTTTTTATAAAAAATGCACATAAAATAAAAATAATTCTGAATCATGATTCTAAATACATAAACCAAACGTCCTCAGAAATCCTAAGATCTCCTTCAGTTTGAAGCAAAGAATAATAAATAAATAAGTAACAAATAATAGAATAAAGGTTTCTGTTTTTTTATGGGGTGAGATTATTTTAAATTTGCATACATGGGATTTGACAATTTTCTTTCTGCACTTGTGGTCTCAAGTTCTTGACATCTGTATGACTAGGGACAAACTACGCCTATAATGCAACCAATTATTCATGCTTTTATAATGCAAAAGGTGGTGCCCTTTACTAGATGTAAACGGTACAACATATATGTCTTATGTCTACATAAATATATACATAAATATGTATGTATTTGTATATAGTATGGTGGTCCTTGACCTATATGGTCAGAGGTTTGTAGGAATCTTTATATATGTCTATTGTCCCGAGAGAAGATCAACCAAATTCAAAGTGCGTTGGTTAAAAGAGGATTAAAAATTCTGCTTTGACACAATATTAGATAAATACAGGTCATGCTTATGCTTTTCATAAGTACATAAGTTTTTATTTTCATACAGTAAAGAACTGTATTTATGAATTATTAGCTGAATAACATATCTATTGGATGTGATTGAGATTTTTTTTGTGTCTTGCTTTTGGAAAACATGATGTTAATGTACGAATCTAGAAATCTCTATGTCATCTAAACATGCTCAAACATGGATTGGACTTACCGGCAGTAATTTCCATGCATGAAATCTTAATAATTTTAGACACTTTTCAAGAGCAAAATGGACACAACTATTTTTAACTGTAAAAAAAAATAAAATAAAATAATTGTGTTTTTCAGGTATGGACATACAGGAATGTACAAGGCCTTCTTGTTCGGGAACCCGAGTATCATTGTCACGACGCCAGAAACCTGCAGGCGAGTGTTGACAGACGACGAATCGTTTAAGCCAGGCTGGCCTCGTTCAACCGTTGAACTCATTGGGAAGAAGTCCTTCATCGGCATTTCTTTTGAAGAACACAAGCGTCTAAGGAAGTTAACAGCTGCTCCAGTGAATGGCCATGAAGCACTGTCCATGTATATCAAATACATTGAAGAGAATGTAGTTGCTTCTTTGGAAAAGTGGGCTACCATGGGAGAAATTGAGTTCTTGACTCAAGTCCGAAAACTCACTTTTAGGATCATCATGTACATTTTTCTAAGCACAGAGAGTGAGTCAGTAATGGGAGCTTTGGAGAATGAATATACAGCACTTAACTATGGAGTTAGAGCCATGGCAATCAACATTCCGGGTTTCGCTTATCATAGAGCACGCAAGGTGAAGCTTTTTACTTTTTTCTTCTTGTTTTTACTAACAAGGTGTATGCATTTTGATTTTAAATATGAATGATTTAGTATTTACATGAGAATTTTAATATCAGGCGAGGAAGAATCTTGTATCTGTGTTTCAATCTATCGTGGATGAGCGAAGATCTCAGCGGAGAAAGGGCAATGTAAGCTCGACAAAGAAGAAAGATATGATGGATGCTTTGCTTGATGTTGAAGATGAAAATGGCAGAAAATTGACTGATGAGGAGATCATAGATGTTTTGTTGATGTACTTGAATGCGGGCCATGAATCTTCTGGCCATACCATGATGTGGGCTGTTGTTTTCCTACAACATCGCCCTGAGATTTTCCAAAAGGCCAAGGTACTTGATTTAGTATAGTAGTTTAATTAAAACCAAAAAGTAAAGTTGTTTAGCCTAGCAAATCATGTTTTGTGATTGTCTTTTCCTTTCTGGCCTATAATCAAATTTTGACTTTGAACTATAGGCAGAGCAAGAAGAGATTATAAAGAAGAGGCCACCTACACAGAAAGGCTTGAGCCTCAAGGAAATTCGAGAAATGGACTATCTTTCCAAGGTGGTTGACGAAACGCTTCGTGTGGTAACATTCTCACTTACAGTGTTCCGAGAGGCAAAACAAGATGTTCAAGTAACTGGTTAGTCAATATTCAATGTTTTCTGCATAGTAATTGTGTTACTTTGGTGTTGAAGATTCACTTAATGAAATGGATTGGTTTTCAGGTTACACCATCCCCAAGGGCTGGAAAGTTCTGGTCTGGTTTAGAAGTGTTCATTTAGATCCAGAAATCTATCCTGATCCAAAGGAATTCAATCCTTCCAGATGGGATGTAAATGTTTTTTTTTTTTTTTTTTTAATTATTGAAAGATAATATATATTGTTTCTGTCTGCAGTACTTTCTCATAAAAAATTAAGCCTTGACCAGAAATGTAAACATTCTTTGTGATTGCACAGAACTACACACCAAGAGCAGGATCTTTCCTTCCCTTTGGAGCAGGAAGCAGGTTGTGCCCAGGAAATGATCTGGCTAAATTGGAAATCTCGATTTTCCTTCATCACTTTCTCCTCGGTTATCGGTTAGTCATCGTCGAACATTTTATTCTGCATTACATTTGTATTTAAAGCTGTTCTATTACACCTCTTCTAATGCAATGTGTTGTTGCAAACAGGTTGAAACGGGCTAATCCCGATTGTCCGTTAATGTACTTGCCGCATTCGCGGCCTAAAGACAATTGCTTGGCGAAAGTTGAGAAATGCACATCTTAATAGACATGAGGGGAAAAGGGAGGAGCAAATAGCAGTGGCAACACAATACTGCAGTTGATGGATTCAAATAATAAAAATATTTCTTTTGTTTTTGTTCTAGGCATTTTGATGTTCAAATCTCTGTTCAAAGACTCATGTGCCTTGTTCCTTTTATATTAATTATTATAATCTCTTTTTAAAGCCTTACTACCTTATCTTAGCTTGCTTTGTTTTTTTTTTTTTCCCTACAGAAAGTGGCATATAGAAAAGTAATTTATGGGTGTGCTTGTGAATTTTGCATTTGCATTTTCACACAGAAAAGAAAGAAAAAGTTGATCTATCTTTCAAAAAATTGTTATTCTTTTAAATCTTTTAGAATGTTGGTTTTACAAGGGACAAGACAAGGACATTCACGAACAATGATTTTGCCCAAAATGCATGCATGTAAAGAAGATATGCTTCCACATTTTTTCAAACATAAAAAAGTGGGATTAATTTAAAGTTTATAATATTTGACTCTAGAATGTGGTAGGGCAATAAAACGCAAATTGTAATTTCTGCAACATTTCCCATACATGGTTTGTGGTCCCTATATGAATGTGGACCATGCTGTTGTTCATCTCCTTCCTTGCACCAAAATCCAGAACCCATTACATTTTTCATCCTTATCCATAATATAGATATGCGAACATGAGCGCAAAAATTCTTTCAGAGAAGCCTTTACTTCCTAATAATTTAATGCTAACATAGATTGTTCATGGATTCATAGGGGAAAACATACCCGTGCTGTATCTACGAATTTGATAGCATATGAATTAATTATTTTAGGGATAAAACCATTTTAATACCTTCTATTAAATCGAAAGCGTTTGACGTTATTCTGTTTTTTTAATAATATTAAAAATTACATGCACATTTAAAAAAACGTATTTTCGATACCTTAAGACCATCTTTTGGTACATAAAATGTCTTTTATACACTTTCAATTACTACAAAATTAAGTTTGAATATAAATTCCAAGGTGTATGACTATTTATGTAATTGAAAATTAAGGATTTGAGGTAAATTACCTCTTTAAGAATTTGTGGGCGATATAATTTAATTTGTGAATTCTGAAAAATCCTAAGATGAATGATCTGTATTAAGAATTGAAATTTATGACTGCACGAGGCTTTTCAACCAAATTGCCTACGTATCAAGTTTACAATTTTGTGATTTTTTTTTAAAATATATTTTTAAGGTGAATTACCCGTTGATCTTTTGGGCCAAGTTTTCCATTTAATTTGGATTTAATGATTTTGAGGTGAATGAACTCATTTTAAATTTTTTGAGATTTTTTCGCATTTGTTTTGAACTTGTAACTATACCTAATTTATTAGGTTGTCTAATTCAAGTTTGGCGTTTGTTTCGGATTGAACTTGGAGAAAGTTTTGATTTACAATTCTTTTCTCGCACCATTGAAATGACATTTGGACTGATTATGCAAATTATTTTTCATTTGTAACGAGACACGGTTGGAGTCTTTTTCTTTCTTTTTTTTTTTTTTTTTTTGGATTTTTGTATGAGTGTTAGATTTTTTTTTTTTTGGTTGCTAGAAGTGAAGGTTTTATTATTGTCTGTATTTTTTTTCCCCCCTTAACTTATGCGTTAAATGAAATTTCTTTGTCAGGTTCCCAACTTCTAACCGCCAAAGGACTATAACATTGCATAGGTAACGGTTTTTTGAAATTTTGAGGACAAAAAATGGCAACGGCTACTTTAGCAAGACAAATAGGCCGTGTCATATCTAATGCAGCCAGAAAGAAAACATCAGGAGGAGGCTGGTACAGCCCTCACATGGCTGCTGCTTCTCGCGCCATCGCAGAGCGAATCCCGTTGGTCGATCTTGTTCTTGAAATCAGAGATGCAAGGGTATAAATATACTGATCTTGATACGCATTGACATAATTCAAACACTTTCTTTGTTGAGTAATGGCGTTGGGTGTGCATGAGATTTTGTTTGTAAGCACGCCAAATGTTTGAGGAAATGCCTCAATGGCAAGTGAGCTTGTTTTCTTGATTTACTTGTTTGTGTTCGGTTCTTGTTCTAAATACTAAGGGCTCGTTTGTTTCATGCGTTTAAACTCATAGTTTTGATTCTGCTACAGTGTTTTCCTCTTATAAAAAATTTGAATTTTAAATGCTAAAATCAAGAATCACTGATTTAAACGCATGAACTGAACGGTCCTAAGTATTTAAAAACTATGATACATTAAGATGCCCGTCCATTCATTTATTTATTTATTTTTTTTGAGTTTGAACTAAACTTAGTACAACTTTCACTACAACGACTATTTCTAGAAAGAGAAGGACGTTGGAGGACTTTTCATGAGTTTAAGATTGTATTTGAATTGGATGCACATTTGGTAACGGTATCTGAGGGTTTTGAATAACGTGTAGGGGAGACAAGAAAATAGTGTGTAACGGGTTTGAAATTGAGTGACGACATCATTTTTGTTTAAGTTATTTTTGCACAGAGTTTCAGATTTGCACTTGAACTCAGTACTCGGGGTTCGAAGTGGTAGTTATTAGTGAATAGGATATGCTGTGAGGAAAAGATGCAAGGTTACATCTGTAAATTTTGGTTGATCTAGCTTAATTTAATTCGAAGGAAATGTTTCTTGCTGAAAAAATACAGAATATTTCATACTACAAACTTGATGTTAAAGTTTTCTTATTCGCTTTTCTTGTGCTTAGATTCCATTATCTTCAGAGTGTGAGCAATTGATGAACCATAAGCTTTCCTCAAGACGAATCATAGTATTGAACAAGATGGACCTCGCCGATTGCTCACAAACGAAGGTGTGTATAAAAAGCATGTCTCTTAGGTTGTGTATTTACTGGTCATGCTATGCAAGCATAAGATAACTATTCCTTTTCGATTTAAAATTTATTTTTATGCGTTGTTATCATTTTCTTCCAGTAGTGTTTATGTATTGTTTACACTTTCATTCATTCTTTTTTTCTTTTTTTTTTTTTCGGTGAAGGAGTGGATGAGCTATTTTGAACAAAACAACTGCATTTCTTATGGAGTCAATGCCCATAATAAGAAGAGCATCAGGCAGGTATATGTGACTCTCTCGTTATTTAACATGGATTGGTTCATCAAACATGTAATGACCATGTGCAAAAGAAAATATGTTCATTTGTTTGTAGCTTTTAGTCTTCTCTGTCTCTCTTTGCTAAAAAAAAAAAAAAAAATCATTCAAATGATAGCAAATGGTAAAAGCATATCCATACCATGATGATGTTAGTACTTAACAAGGCTCTCACTTTTCCTTCACGAGTATAGGTGTATTTCTTTTCTAAAAAGAAATGAATACTATCATTTTTAAGGAGTCTCCAAATAATTCGATGACCTGTTGTGTCTGGCTTAAGAATCACTTATTAGTTGGACCATGTTTACCTCAGTTAATGGGTCTAACTCTTGTCACGAATTCTAGTGTAGGTAATATATTTTAACTATTATTACACCACGCAATGCTCTTTCTTATTTTCTTGAGACGTGGTTCACTTCTTGCAGTTCTTGAACTTCTTACAAGCCCAAGTTAAACAACTGAGGAGAAACAATCATTCTTTTACGACAACAATATTAGTGGTTGGGATTCCTAATGTTGGTAAATCAGCTCTCGCCAACTCTTTGCATCAAATTGGGAGGATTAGTGCGGCAGGTAAAGATGATACTTCATTGAAAGCAAAAGCATCATTTCTCATATTAATTTCAATATTATTTTGGAACGAGTTTGTTGCGTATGATTACTACTATTGAGTTCCTACTTCTTTTGAATTAGTGAGCTTTTTGAATATGTTTTGAGCATTTGTAGTGTTGTTTGCTTCGCAGAGAAGGGAAGGTTGAGGCACGCTACAGTGAGTCCTCACCCCGGTGAGACGAAAGACATAAGCAGTTTGAAGGTGTGTACTGTGTAGCCCTACACTTCCAGCAGTGTATGTTGTTATGTTGCCCTGGTAAAGATTCTTAGCCTGTAAAGAGCATTTGTAGAGAATCCTAAAGAAATTGTTTTTTTAACTAAAGACTATATCTAAATATCTATTCTTAGGAGTTAGGAACACACAGCAGTAGGACTATTCCCTTGCATTTTTACGTGTATCTATTCTGTTTGCTATGCATTCAGTTTATAATTAACACACGCAAGTTGATTCGAATTTTGCAGATCGGAAGCCATCCGAATATTTATGTATTGGATACTCCAGGAATTTTGCCTCCTGAGATTTCTGATGTTGAGGTCTGCTCCAAGCTAGCTTTAACAGGTAGGAACAAGCAACACCTGGTTTGACTTCCTTGGATTTATTCAAATTTTGTTCAACACCTACTTGTACTTATTTTTCAACACCTAGGGCATGATTGCTAACTTGTAATCCAATGTAAGAGGAAATTGGAAACATATTGGATACAAAAGAAAATAAATAAGAAAGAGGATTATTGATTCCCGCGTTTACTTATCTATTAGTTAGTTGAATTTGGAACAATCCGATTCCCTTTCTAGTATTTACAAACTTTAGATATATGATTCCTAACGGCTTGAGTACTACAATATCCTTTGTGCATATAACTGCTAAAGCATAACAAGGCTATAGAGTATAAAGGGAAAGAATTGACTTTCCTTCTCATTATTTCGTCTATCATTTGAGCCTCACCAAATTTGCCGTCTTGGTATTGTAAGTAAACCCACGAGTTGTCACACTCCTTAGTGTACAGAGGACCACATACGAAGATGTAATATCAAGATGAGGTTCTTGAAATTTAACAAACCTTTTGAAGTGACATTTTTTTAAAATACAGGAGCGGTCGACGACTGTTTGGTTCGACGAGAAGAACTTGCTCAATATTTTCTTACCTTTCTAAACTTGAGCGATGAATACAAGAAGTGGTCAAAGTTGTCCAAAAATGAAATTGTGAAACCATTAGCGGACCATAAAGCAGAACGCTCAAGTGGTGTTAAAATGGACGCGAAACGGAGGCGGCAATATCCCACAGACCATACACAGGTATTTGACACTTTCATACTATTCAAAATCTCAAACTTTGAGTTTTGCCATTTCATTACCACATTGACGGCCATTTGTCTGATCTTAGTTTGTGAAGATTTACATGTGAAAACTAACATGATCCAGTCTGATTTTTTAGACTTATATGTTGGTTAACGTTCTCGTCTGAGCTTAGAGTTACCTTTTGACTTAAGCTTTGTGTCATCCTTCTGTTTCTTCAAATTAAAACGCATATTCGAGCAAGGAAAAAAAATTTATAATACGCATATTAATGGTTTCCAATGCAGGATTTCATAGTGAATGACGTTCGTCAAACTCTCTTCGAGAAGATTTCATCTTTCGATGGCAACATGAATGATGAAAGCAACTTGTCAACGCTTATTGAGGAAGAGATCATGGCCTTGAAGGAAGCTTTTCGAATTCCTACAGACTTGAATGAGGATGCACGATATAAAGTGGCTGCCAAGTTGTTGAATTTATACCGTACCGGGCGGCTTGGACACTACACTTTAGATTCTGTCCCATAAAAGCTTAGCAATTCTTTGTTTGAATTCACTCGTTCCATCCCAGAGCAATTTAAGCCAAATTTGCAGCTTAGCAATTCTGTCCCAGAGCAATTTAAGCCAAATTTGCAGCTAAAAGCAACAATAGAAAATTGCATAAAAAATTTTGCCCAAGCAAGAAAGACGATCATAAATGCTTTGGGAATGGCAATGATGATCAAACAAGAACTGTGAATCTGTGATCATTTAAGCTTTTAGTGAATCAAAGGTGTCAAATGAAGACAATCATTTAAGATTTGTGAGGTTTTTTAAGCTTCCAGTGAATCACAAGGACAATTCAAAGCAGGAAAAAAAAAAAAAAAAAGAATCAAGGGTAACCATAAACCATAAAGTTTCTAGCTTTTAATATTGAACGCAACTATAGTCGCGAAAATTCAGATTGTTCTTTAGAACAATTGTGCGGCCCTGTAAGTTGTAATGGATAAACTTCTTCCTCAACTATCGCATATAACTAATACATGTACTTCTGGGAAGAAAAGATACCAAAAGAAACGGTAAGATCTTTCTAGTTGCAGTCACTGTTGAACTTTACGGGCAAGAGAAGTAATACATGTATAGAGGTTGGAATATATTCAAAAGATAGGAGATAATGCACCTAGACCTTGGAAATACCCGAGAAATGTGTGTTTCTATTTTTTTTGGTTAGTAATCATTGATTATCTGGTTCCAGCATGTCATGTTGAGAAGTCTGGTGTAGGGCAATTGATCGACATCGAACCCCGGTGATTCCTCGACAAAGGCTTCATTTGTGAGACCTGCAGATATGAACAAAGCTGAGTTAGTAACACTTACAATCAAATAGTCTCACGATGCAACACATTCTACTGCATTCATCATGACTTCAACAGCGTAAACCCTACTAGCAAAGCACCATCAGCACATGTTTTGGGGGGGAAAATCAGATAAAGATAATGGCAATCAAACACTATAAGAAGATTTAAAGTAAGAAAAGGGCAATGATGGAATTTGATGAAAACAAGGCAGACCTCAACTGCAAAGATTGTATATTACCAGTTGAAGATCTTAATCAGAATTTAGGATCTCCCTCCATATACATGGATTCTCTCATCAATCGGCCCCTCGCAACATGGACACCTAGCTTCCAATTGGTAATAGTAATCACTACTGCAACTAGCACAAATAACTTGATGCGCACATGGCAGTAAGAGAACAGAAACTTCTTTCTCCATACAGATCATGCACATTCGATCATAAATTACTTCATTTTCAGAAAAACCCGTTTGCTCACTTGAACCACGAAATTGATTCTGGAAGGTGCGTGCATTGATTTCCAAGACTTCCGAATCCCATGAGAACAAGTAATCTGGGAGGTGATATAGATCATTACTAGCTCCTGAAGACATCTGAAGCTGGGCTATTTCTTGCTCGAGTTGTCGTATTTCATCTTTATATTTCAGACGTTCGGTCTCCATCTTTTGGTGAAGTGCCTGATGCCTTCTTTTTATTCTGACGTCAGTTTCTTCCTTTAGTTTCCATTCTTCTTGCAACTGGTTTAAAGCTAGTTCTTTAGCCTTAACTTCTTGTCTCCATATCACCTGAAAATAGAAAAGGCAATTGAGTTAATCTACATTTTTCTCCATTGTTGGTTAAAGGTTAACCATGCTTTTCTTCTGCACATACATAATAGTTAGCTCAAATAGATTAATTCTGATTATCATCCTCAAGAAAGGAAACAAGCATCAACTGAATTGTGTTTGTATATATAAAGCTAAAGTATAATAGACTAAAGCAGGCTATCCAAAATCAGCAATATTCATTAGCAAATTAAATTGGAGCAGATTACTTGGTTAACGTAACATATTACGAGTCAAAATCACAAAACGTGGAATGAACACAAATACTAACAGAAATAAATTGAGGGTAACACGGGATTTATCTAAACCTAATAGAAGTTCCTAGATGAAAGTGTGTAATGCACTAAGCCCCTTGGCACAAAAATAAGGAAAGGTGATAAATCTTCCTGCTTGTCATCAATAATATCAAGATCAATCTGACGCAGGGAAAAAAGAAAAAAAGAAATTAAGCAACAAGTAATTAGGAGGATCTAGTGAGCTCTATAGGTGGACCCATGGAGTTCATGCTTACTTGATCTGCTCATGAGCGAACTCCTTGGTGTCCACTTAAATTAACTTAACGATGGCATTACATAAATACTTGAAGTGAACTAACAAATACTCATAATATTGCTCTAACAAAAATAGTACAGAGGGTAAGCTACTAAAATACACATGCATTAAAACTTTTTGGCACATTTGTCCATATATTTCTAATGAACAGAAATGTAACCTTACATCTAAAATACTTTGCATACTTTGTAAGTTGTAACCTATCAGTGAGAATTGAGGGGAGGAAATTCTAAAACGACATTCTTAACCCCCCTTGTAACCTACAACATCCCATCTTAACCCCCCTGTAACCTACAACATCCCACCTACAATATCATTAGAATGCAGTCTATTTGTCACCACTAGAGCAGAGATGTGCAACAAGTTTCAAGTCAAAAGGTTATGTCACTGATTGTTACTAATAAATAGACATATGAGGAAAAATAAAATGCAGGCAATTTTTTGTCATTTACCTGTATAAAAGATCAAAACAAGAAAATTGTGGGTTAACCATGGTGTAGAACTACCAAAGTCAAAAGGGAAACAGTAAGAGTAAACAAGCAGTAAAGAATACATTGACATCATTGAAAAATTATAAGCACAATATCTATACTTAATCAAGAAAGATTGCTAAGAACATAATTTGACTTCAGGAATTAAATAAGAATTAATTCTGTGCCACATCAAAATTTATTTAATCATGAAATTTTTACTTTTAAGGAATTTCTATGTTGATCTTACTTTCTAGTTTTGAGGCAATTTTTTAAAAATGTATTAAAATGGTAAGAATAATAGATCGTGATGCTTATGATGTTGCTCGGAATCAAAGAGATTGGCGTTCCTAAGTCCAAATATTTCACAGTAATAGTTCATTTACTTTGAAACACGCATGCATACATACATGCATACATACATATAAAATACCACTACACAACCTAGGTGGGATGGTAGTCACTAAACTTTTCACCAAGCAGTCTTAGGTTCAAGTCTTCTCATTGGTTAATGTCATTCCCATTGCAAACATATATCTTGCAGGTCTCACGAGTACCCCAGAAATATTCGGGAAATACATTTGAACGCGGAGAAAAGTGAACGGCCTAAGAGATAACAATTGGAAGACAACAAAGATAAAGTACAAACCATGTAAGCGTGCAAAACCAAACAACATCTTCGTGAGCATTGTTATTCCAAGAAAAAAAACATCAACAGCTTTTTCATTCTAAAATAAAACTAAGCAGAGTAATAAAAAGCCACCAAATGAGCTTGCAAAGCTGCTATAAGACAACCGCTTAGGCACAACATAAGACTGAAAACAGGCTGCATATAAAATCTACCCAAGAAGAGTAATGCAAAAATAAGAATTCTTGTATCATGATTCAAGATAATAATGCTTTTACACAAAATAGTACAAATGGATTAAAATGTCAACTAAACAGTTTGAGTGGGAGGACTCTTGTATGGATAACCTAGTCATGGATGGCATTGGTATTTTTTGACGAATCAGAACCTAATTGTGTTGAACTAAGATGACATTGATTTTAGTCCATGATATCAAAGAGGCGGAAGACGAAGCAAAGAAGTGGAAGGAATTGGCTAAAGGGAAAGTGATGGAGGCTGCTAAAAAGCTCAGCCGTGACCTTTTAGAGCTGAAAGCCTTGAGAATGCATAAGAGGAAACAAAAGTATAAGTCAGAGAGTTGGATGATAGAACAGGAGGAAAGAAACCGTAGGATCTTTGAGGGCCGTGAGGAGGAATGCTCTGCCATATGGGATCATATTAAGTTTAGTGTCGCCCTTTGGGTCCATCACGATAAGGAATTCAATAGTCCTTTGTTTTCTGACATTGTTAGGGATTATAATTTTGTAATTTTTGCATTCACTTTTTGAGGAAATCTCTTCGGCTTGTTCTCTGGTACATAATTCTTCTTCATTAATAAAAGTTTTTGTTTCTTTTCAAAGAAAAAAGGAAAAAAAAAAAGATAGAACAGGAAAAAAGGATGATGTTGAGGCTCATGGAGCCGGAGAATGCAAAAACCAGACTACTTGTCAATATGACATTTTGAATAAATCTTTGTTTAATATGGACAATGGAATATGGGATAAAGGCGGACATTTAAGCATACAAGTTAAGAACATCTGAGTTTGACAGAAAGATTGCTACCGTGGAAACTAAAGAAAAGAAATATGTATGGAAGATGGTGTCTCCGGAGAAACAAAATAAAATATTACTGGAAGAAATTGAAAATCAGATAAAGGGGTCGCTGCAGTTGCAGCAGAAATTGTTTGACCTCAAAAAGGCTCAAGAGATCATAGAGATCAAGTTTCATCAGAATTTTCAGATGAAAAGCTTTCAAGCATGCTCCAGCAAATTTAGATACAAAAGCAGAAAAATAATATGTTAAAAGATGATGAATGATAAATAAAAGGAAATTGAGTAATAAAAGGTAAAGGAATAATTATTCTATTTTTCAATGACTGTCTTTTTAGGGGTCAAATAACGCACCTCTATTTGCTCTTGCGCTGCTTGGAGGTCGGCCATTTGTTGTTGTAGCTGCAGAGACTTCTTTCTCTCCTGCTCAATCTCTTCCAATAATCTACTATTGTGTTTCTCTAAAGATATCGCCTTCTTTACGGACTTCTTTTCTTTACTTGCAACTTTAGCAATCTTTTCATCTGTCTCAGAAGTTCTCAACTTGTATGCCTCAATTTCCGCCCTTATCTCTGCATTGACATTCTCCATATCATAGGAAGCTTTATTCAGCATATCATATTGACAAGTAGTCTGATCCATGGCATTCTCCAGCTCCATGAGCCGAAGCATCATCCTTTCCTCTTGTTCTATCATGTCACACTCAGACTCGCACTTCTGTTTTCTCTTCTGCATTCTCAAGGCTTTCAGCTCTAAAAGGTCATGGCTGAGCTTCTTAGCAGCTTCCACCACTTTCTTTTTAGCCCATTCCTTCCGCTCTTCCACTTCCTTTTTTGCCTCTTTGATATCGTGGACCAACATTGATATCATGTTACTTCTTTTATCAACACAATTAGGTTTTGACTCCTCGTCAGAGACTGACTTTTCAATGGCATCCAACATTAGGTTGTCCATGCAAGAGTCCTCCCACTCAAACTGTTTAGTTGACATTTTTCCCAGAAAGAAGTTCTTTTCAGCTTGTATTCCCTCAGAAGATTCCTTCAGTTCAGCTTGGAAAGCAACAGCAAGATTTGCAACGCTCTTCTTCAACCTTGCTTGCTGAGATGGTGTTAGATTGGAACCCATCACCCTAATACGACTTTTACCCAAAAACTTTTCAAATTCCTCTACGAGCCTCTTGTTTCCAGAAACGGAATTCTCACAATCAGCAAATTCCTGGTCTCCATGTACTGTACAAACCCCAGAAGATGATGCCCTTTTGGATAAATCCACCTTAAATTTACCATCAGTTGGCTTGCCCATGACCGTCAGAATGCTGGAAAAGCCCAAGTCAAAATTGGTCATCAGGAGACACCTCATAGCTTCAATTTTTTTCAAGTTTGGCTGAGCTTGGCAAAGTGTAAATATCATAACCGCTAGTGAACTTTTAACTGACGGCCTTAGATTTTCAGCAACTCGTGGACGATCCTTGTGAGTTTCATTGCGCTTACTTTTTTTAGTTTTGATATACTCAACCGAATTCTGCACAATATTTGTCAGTATATCCTCATCACCAAACACATATCCACATGTCAAGATGGCATTCCATACAACATCACGAGGATAACCAAACGACATCAATTTGGCGATTGCCTGCTTGTAAATAATTTCAAGTTTGTTTAGGAGCATGTTTTCCAATTCCTCTTCACTACAATACATTGGATTGTTTACAAAAGGACTTGAACTTTGAGTGGGTTTCAAATTAGCATGCATACCCATAGTATTTTGCGTACCACACAACTCAGGACCAGTATCAGAATCACAATGCCCTGGAGTTAATTCAGGACAATGTTCAACACTCGGTGAGCCACTTTTGTTGCTGGGTTTGTTCAAGTGCGGTTTTCGCTTGCCTTTCTTTTGTCTCCCCGAGCCACTCATTTCAGGTACTAAACTAGTCTGAAAACAAATGCATCAGCTCAAAACAACAGCTTTAACGAGAACACACAGAACCATATAAGAAAATAAAAATTTTAGCGCTTTCAAAAAATAAAATACAATTTTAGCATTCTCTATAATCCGTTGCATTTTAATACAAGTCTTGAGATCTTTCATTTTTTATGCTTTAAATGTCAACTATGAAGAATAGAATGAAACATGCTAGAAAAGAAAAATAAGCAATGCTTTACCCACTTTCTAGTTATTCTCTCAGCACTCAAATAGAGAACCAAAAAAAAAAAAAAAAGAAAAGAAGAAGAAGAAGAAATTAAAACCTAAAAGAAACAAGTGATTTAAAGAAGAAACAGTACAAGCATTTCAAAAACCACCCATCTTTAAAACAAACTGGCTCAAACCATCAGTCTGAACTAAATAAGAATTCACAGAGTTTGCCGTTCTTATAATTTACTATTCTCTTATACATGCCTTTCGGATTTTTTTTTTTTAAGAAAAAACCAACTTCGAATCTTTTTCTGGTACAGTTTTCATTTTAAATTTGTTTTGAAAGTGGAAAAAAAATGTTGGAGATTCTTAATAGCGTACGGAAAATATCTTTATCCATCATTATTTCACTTTTAAGGCTAAAAATAAAAGTCATTCAAAAACAAGCATAAGAAAGCGACAATATAGATTCACGAGCATAGAAACAATGGTTTAGCCTCTTTTTAGTTACTATTCCTTTTGTGCATTTTCTCAGCAACCAAACAGAGTAAAAAGTACAGGAGAACTGAAACAAAACCCGCTATACAAAAGAAAAAACAGTCCGTTGCATTTGCAAAACGAAGATGAAGAACAAATTAAGAGCCGAATCAAAAAGGGATTCTCGGGAACTAACCAATTAATTGATAAAACTCTACGCTTCGAAAAACATGCAACAAATGTTTTAGCAGCCTCTTTTCCTTCACTTTCTCTTTCGGTGTATTTTTCTCGGCAGCCAAACAGAATAAGAAGGAAAAACAAAACAACGCAGGAAAACTGAGCAAAACCAAGCTAGAGAGAGTGAGACTGTGAGAGAGTGAGAGAGTGAGAGAGTGAGAGAGAGAGAGAGAGAGAGCGCTCTGAAAGTTCGAATCTTGTGAGTGTTCAAGGAAGAATATAAGGGGCAGAAATGGAGCGAAAAAGGGTTAGAGATTTCCTACTGTCACGATCATTTTAAAATTTTTGCACTGTTTGTTTGGCATGAAACGGTTGGTCACTATAGTGCAATTAAGGCCTTCTTATGGTGTGGGTTTGTAGCAGATCATACCTCGTTCGGACTACCATGTTATGCATGTGTGTGATTCCATTGGCTTCATTTTTTGTCTTGGAAATGGCCAATCATATTACGCCGAGTAAGCATGAGGAGTTTGGAAATTGTCAGTTAAAGGAAAAAGCAACATTTCGACACTTTTCACATTCCTATTGGACTGTCAAAAAATAATAAGCATTGAAGTTGTTGACGTTTTTGTGGTAAACACATTGCACCACCCTGGTTAGGAAGTTGCATTGGCACCAATTTAAGGCCATTTATCAGCTTAATATTTTGACACTTTTCACATTCCTATTGGACTGTCACAAAATAATAAGCATTGAAGTTGTTGACGTTTTTGTGGTAAACCCATTGCACCACTCTCGTTAGAAAGTTACGGCCTGTTTAGTTCGTTAATTTGAGTTTTTAATTTGAGTTGAGATGTAATTATATGTGAAATTTTTTACTGTAGTAAAAAAGTTAAATGTGACTATTTTTTAGAGGTTTTTACTGTAACAAAACTCAAATTTTAAACGGAAATAATAGAAAATAGGCCAATATGAAAAGCTTAAGAAAGTATATAGGCCAATTTTTAGTTATAGAAATTGATAGGACATAACTTGTCAAGTTATGGTTCATAACCAAATAAGTTATGGACAAACTTATCAAGTTATGGTTCATAGCAGACAAGTTATGGACAAAAACCGTGAATTATGGACAATAACTTGTCAAGTTATGGTTCATAACCACACAAGTTATGGATAAAAATAATAATTTTACCTATTTATTAACTTATGTAAACTACTGACTTATTAATTTTAATTCATCTCAAATCTTAATTTATTTTTTTTTTTTTAATTTTAAATTTAAATCGGTAAAGTAAACGAGCATCAATTTAGGCCCATTTATTAGCTTGAGCCCAAAAAAAATGCGGGAAGTGCAGAATTCCACTCAAATACATCATCTTTATAAAACATCCCCAAGGCCGAACGGCATAAACTTAAGGTTTTTTTTGGAGGACTTTCTCTAATAAGCGTCTGTGACTAATTTCTGATTATTAAATTTAATTAAAATTATATTAAATTAAAAAATATATAGAATAAATAATTTATAATATAGATTTAATTGTTAAAAAATATAACTCTATCCATAGTTTATTTTTTTTAATCCTAATAGAGAAATTCCGTTTTTCTAAACAAAGATTTTATTTTCAATGGACAAAAATGGTATTAATATAACGTTGTTAGATTTTAATAGTATATTACGTAAGTTTTTTTTTTTTTTTTTTTAAAAGCTCACTTTTACCTTTTTCTTGGCTTGAAGTGATTTTAATAATTCCTTTAATAATTTCAAATATTTCTTTTTCTATTTATCTGCTGAGTTTTTTTTTTCAAAAAAAAAAAATGTACTTAGATTTTCATTTAATTTGCCTTTGTTCCAAACAACGTTCCTCGATTTTTTCTTTTTGTTACTTGGAGTAAAAATTTAATGCCACCTTTACCAATTTCTAACGGAAAATGCTTGCATTATTACCTTGCCTTTTTTTTCACGGCTAGAAACTTAGAACCTATTAATTATGAGAAAATTGTTGAGCTTATCTTAATATGTATGGTTTGGGTTTTTATCCTTACTTTTGATTAATATTTTTTTAATTAAATAACTATATTAGTTAAAATAATATTAATTAAGAGTGAAAAATAAATATTTAGATTCATGCATTATAAAAACATACTTTTTATTACTCTACTCTTTTTCAAATTGTCTTTTTATTGCCTTATTTGATCCTATCAATTTCTTAGATTTGTTTTCCTCGTATTGCTTAGAGTACCAATGTATGCCCATCGTCACATTTTTGTTGCTTGAACCTATTAATTTCTCCAATTCTTTCCCTTTTCTTTTTCATCTGCCTATATTTTTTCCTTTAGAAATCTTCTTAGATTTTCTTTTTATTGCCTAACTCGTTCCTATCAATTTTTTGGATTGTTTTCCTTTTTTTTCTTAGAGTAAAAATTTAATGCCATCCTACCTTTTTTATGGCTTTGGACTTATTAATATCTCAATTTTTTTTTTCATTTACCCGCTTAGATTTTTTTTTTTCTTGGAAATTTGCTTTATGTTTTCTTCTTATTGCCTTTACTTGATCCTATCAATTTCTTAGACTGTTGTCCTTTTATTGCTTAGAGAACAAATTTACACCCACCTTATCTTTTTTATGGCTCTATTATGAATTCGTTCAAGAAAAAGAAAAATATTTTCGAATTTCTACTTTTACCTTCCTTTTTTTTTTTTTTTGGCCAGATTTCCAGGTTTCTCGTTTCCTCTTAAGAACTTTATGAACTCTAATGACTAGAATTCGATAATGAAACAATAAAAATGATTAACTGACACCAGATAGAATCACATTGAAAGTCATAAATCCGGGAGAAAAAATGATGAAAATCCAAATAATTGAACAGAAACAAATCATTTTGATGCCAAGTTTTTTTTTTAAGAAACTTTTTATCCTTTCATGCATACTATCAGATGAAATGCCAACTTCCTTTGCTTTTACAGGGCTGACAAGAAGAATTGGTTGACCCTTTTCCATGATCAACTTCTCCGTGGCACTGCATGTGCATCCCTCTTGATAGTCCCTTTTTCTACCTGCGAAGGACAACAACTTTCCATCCCTGTAGGACAGAACTCAGAAGATAACTTTTTTATTATTATTATTTCTTTTAAAAAGAACATCTTTATAACTATCTTTTGTTTCCTATTTTTAATTTGGGAAAATACACTAATTAGCATAATTTGTATGTGCATTTGTACTATAGGATATATTTTTTAAAATTTAGTAAATAACAGCATATTTTAAATTTCATTAAAGCAAATGCTCTTTTCTAAATTCTAAATTTACCCTTCCATTTTGAGTTTCTACGGGGTAGTTCTTTTGCAAGGAAACTTATAACACCCTGAAGAATTAATTGAGATTAATTAAGGTAATTGAGATTATTAGTGTGCCTAATCTGGATTATTAATTGAGTTTTGATTAATAAATGTTTCTGACATGTGAGTTTAAATAGTTCCAAGGTATTTAAATTATTCTCAGTAATTTATTTTAAACCAGAAGTGCGTATGGACGCATTTCTGGACTGTTCTTTAAAAATATTGACACTTGTCCATTTTCTTTCCTTTTTCTTTTTCTTTTCTTTTCTTTCTTTTTCTTTTCCTTCCTTCCTTCCCGTGCACTTTCTCTCTCTCTTTCACTCCCTCTCTCTCTCACTCTCCCGTGCATCTCTCTCATTTTTGTCCCAAATCAAACGGATCTTGAACCAAGGAAAGATTTAAAGAAGTTTTTAACATCAAGAGAAGAATTCGAGGTAAGATTACTGAAAGAACCTCTCTTGAATCTCAAGTTTTTGAATTTCAAAACTTATTTTTGGTTCAAACTGGATTTTGATGGTTTTTGAGTAAAACTAGGGTAGAAATTGGAGATCTTGGGTTCTTTGGACTTGTTTTAAGACCTAGAACCCAGATCTAGTGATTTTCCTTTAAAATATTTGGATTTGGGACTGGATTTGCAGGTTTTGGACTGATTTCTGCGAGCTTCTCTCGCGCAACTGATTCCACCGGTCGACCTGTCCGGTCGACCGGATCACATGGAAATCGGTCGACCCATGCGATCGACCAGATTGCAGGCTGACCGGTTGACCGGTGTGCACACTACCGATCGACCGGTAGTGTTGCACTGCTCTGTCACCGGTCGACCGGTTGACACGGGTTTGACCTTGTTTGGCCTGAAAATGCTGTTTTGACCCCTGTTTTCGGGGAGAACCCAAATTAGCTTCATTTGGGGGCTTGAGATGAATGGATTAGCATCTTTAATCCTTGTTTTGAGATTGAAAACCCTTGAAATGATACTTTGAAACATAAAAATGGATTAGGGCACACTAATAGGAAAACTTGGTATCTAATTGAGAATCTTGGAGCATAATTGAGATTTGGATTGCTTTAGGAATGAGAATTGATCCTAAAGTGTTGTCTTGCATCAGTGATCGCTGAGGATTCAGACTGAAGGGGCTTGAGGAAGCGGAAGCCGGAAAGGGCAACGCTAGTCCCAGGTTTGGTC